AGGCCGGCGGAACAGGGCGGGGAAGGGCCGCAGCTCCCCCTGCTCCATTCCCAGCCAGGCTGAAGAGGCAGGCGAAATATCCTGTAAGCAGCTGGGAGGAGTCTCACAATCTCTGGGCCTTGTTCTCGTGGGTACTTCAACCTGCCAGATGTCTGCTTGGAAATACAGCAGACAGGGAACAGTGCAGGAGATATCCAGACTGTATGGAAGATAACTTTGTGACAAAGTGGATGAGGGAGCCAACTAGGGAAGGTGCCCTGCTGGACCTGCTGTTTGTGAACAGAGAAGAGTTAGTGGGAGATGTGGTGGTCAGAGGCCATCCTGGGCACAGAGACAAAGAAATGAATAGTTTTCCTTTTCAGAGCACTAAGGGGGAGGGGACCAGCAGAACTGCTGCCTGGACTTCCAGAGACCAGACTTTGGCCTGTTTAGGAGACTGGTTGCCAGAGTTCCTTGGAGGGCAGTCCTTGTGGGCAAAGGAGTCCAGGAAGGCTGGACATTCTTCAAGAAGGAAACCTTAAAGGTGCAGGAGCAATCTGCCCACATTTGCTGAAAGATGAGCTGACTGGGAAGAAGACTGGCCTGGCTGAACAGAGCTTTGGTTGGAACTCAGGAGAAAAAGGAGAGTTTATGATCTTTGGACGAAGGGACAAGCTCAGGAGGACTACAAGAATTTTGTGAGGTTAGGCAGGTAGAAAATTAGAAGGACCAAAGCCCAGCTAGAACTTGATTTGGCTTCTAAAGTTAAAGACAATGAAAAATGTTTCTACAAATATATCAGCAACAAAAGGAGGGCTAAGGACAATTTCCATCCTTTATTGGATGCATGGGGAAACATAATGACAACCGACGAGGAAAAGGCTGAGGTCTTGAATGTCTTTTTTGCCTTTACTAACAAGACCAGTTGTCCTCAGGGTACCCATCCTCCTGAGCTGGAAGACAGGGATTGGAAGTAGATATATCAATATCTTTATCAATGACAGAGACCATGAAATCATGTGCAACCTCAGCAAGTTTGCAGATGAAACTGAGTAGTGCATTTGACACCACAAAAGGACAGGATGCCATCCAGAGGGATCTGGACAAACCCGAGAAGTGGGACAATAAGAACCTCGTGTAGTTCAACAAGTTCAAGTGCAAGGTGCTACACATGAGCCAGGGCAATCCCAGTCATGAGTACAGACTGAACTGAACTCATTTAGAGCAGCTCTGCAGAGAAGGCCTTGGGGGTTCTTAAGGATGAAAGGTTGAACATGAGCCGACAGTGTACACTAGCAGCCCAGAAAGCCAACCACATCCTAGGCTACATCAGAAGAAAGGGGACCAGCAGGTTGAGTGAGGTGATTCTGCCCCTCTACACTGCTCTCGTGAGACCCCAGCTGGAGTGCCGCATCCTTCTCTGGGGGCCCCAGCAGTGGAAGGACATGGACCTGTTGGACCAAATCCAGAGGAGGGCCACAAAGATGATCAGAGGGTTAGTGCACCTCTCCAATAAGACAGGCTAAGAGAATTGGGATTGTTCAGTCTGAAGAAGAGTAGGCTTTAGGGTGACCTAATTGCAGCTTTCCAGTACCTGAAGGGAGTCTACAAGAAAGCTGGAGAGGGACTTTTGACAAGGGCATGTAGTGGTAGGACAAGGAAACATGGCTTCAAGCTGAAGGAGGATAGACTTAGATTAGATATTAGAAGGAAATTCTTTACTGTGAGGGTCGTGAGGCACTGCGAGAGGTTGCCCAGACAAGTTATGGATGCTCCCTCCTTGGAACTGTTCAAGACCAGACTGGATGAAGCTCTAAGCAACTCAGTCTTGTGGAAGAAGGTGTCCCTGCCCATGGCAGGGGGGTTGGAACTATAGGATCACAGAATCATTTAGGTTGGAAAAGACCTCTAAGATCATTAAGTCCAACCACTGACTGATCACCTTGTCTATTAGACCAAGTGCCAAACAGGTGTTTACCATGAAGTGCTACATGCACTAAGTGTAACTTTTGTGAGGAGGCAAGAACAACTGATCTGTTAACACAAGAGAATAAAACACTTGGACCTAGTGACACCAAGGATGGCATCTCCAGCTCGTCATTGAGAGGACAAAACTTTTTTGCAAGAGGAAAGAAAGACCTTGTGTGTCCGGGAAATACAATGAGTATGAAGGAGTTTACCTGTTTAAATCAATAGAAGGATTAAACTCATATAATTATTACAATTTTGAAAAAACACTTGTGTATAATTTATGGAAATACCTGTAACATTACGTAATAATTTTCTCAACGTACATACATTTTTTATTGATTTCATGATAACTTTGATGTGTTTAACTTTGATATTTTTTCAAAAGTGATACATCTTCATGGCCATATTGCATCTAACACAATAATGCACTTGTCATGGTTTGAGATAGCCCCAAAAATCTAGTTTCCCTAGTCCTAGCCCCCTTCCCCATCTCAACCCTATGTGAAATGGATTTTCCAGGCAAAAAACACACCAGACTCCAAATGGGGGAAAGGGAATATATTACAATGACTATACAAATAAATATTATAATACATTATACACACGATCACAACTGTCTCTACCATGACATAAGTATTTACAATGGATCAGATCTCTTCTCCCCTCCAAATAAAAGTCCAGGAGGGAAAGAAGGACAGATCCCTTCCAGTCTCAAAGCAGGAGTCTCTTCCAAGGCAGCAGGTTTCTTCTTCTCATGCATGCAGCAGCTGACAGCTGGATTTCTGCCAGCACTCATGAGGGAGGCCTCCAAGCTCCCTCGGCCCCTTGACGCAGGCAAAGGGGTCTTCCTCTGTGGGCTATGTTCACCCCAGACAAGGTCGTTCCACCATGGTCATATCACGAGCACAGGGGGCTTTGTGACAGTCTGGTATCTCCAGGAGATTCAAGCTCCTTGCAGGGCCTCTGTGCCCTGCTTTCAGGCTTGGCAGCAGTGCGAGGGGGAAGCCAAGGTCACCCCCTCTGCATTCCTCTCGGAGCTCTCTAACTCCTTTCTGCAGTGCATGTCGCACTTCAAGGCTCTTTCAAGCAAGAGTCCATCATCTTCCTCCTTCCAGGAGGTCTCAAAGGAGTTTGGGGGATGTGGTATCAGTTCTTACCCCCAAAACTCTGTCTCTCTGCTGCTCTCTCTCTCTCTCTCCTTGCTGCATGCCTTTGTTGCTGCTTGGTCTTATCTCTCCTGGCTCTCTGCCACCTTCTCCGGCCAGTGTTGCTTCTGCTGCCGCTGCTGCTGCTGCTCTGCTCACAGTGAAGAACCATCCCCCAGTTCATAGCTACAGATACATAGTCCAGCTTAACACTGTTCCACGTCCCTGTAGCCCCCAAATGGGGCTGGGGGGCCCCAGAGGCCCCGAGGGGCTCAGAGCCCCTTCCTCGTGGCTCTACAACATGGCTACTTCTCCTGCCAACAACCAAACTACAACTCATCTCTTCCGGTGAGCTTGTGGAATGTTTACATTTTGCAGGAGCACCCACTGGACAGAACTTCAAAACTTCCAGGGGTTTCCACCCCTTGGGGTTTACCACTTTCCTTAGCCTCCGGGGGAAAACAAGATTCAAACCACTACAGCACTTCAGGCCATTTTTCCAAAGTAATAAACATTCCCACTAAATGAAAAGATTTGGTTCCATGTTACACATTTTGTATCCACTCTGATTGCTGTTACTCGGTTAAGTTAATACTGTCATAGGTGAGAGGGGATACATTTTTCCTCACATTGGCAGTACATCCAGTCCAAGGTTGCTTAAGCAACATCAGGGCATCCAAAAAGTTTGCTTATGAGAATAACTGTGCTCAGCTTAATTTGTGAGTTTTTAAAGCCTCCCAAATACCTATGTGCTGAACATAAAGGGGGCCCTAAAATAGTATCATCAGTTTGCTCAGAGTGACTACCAAAATGGGAATCAAGCCAACCATACAGCAATGGGTGCAACAACAGAAAAAAAATACTTTAGGAATGAGGCCTACAGCCATGACATATGCCATGGGATATCTGGTGAAGAGATTTCCAAGAGATATGCTGCATCCAGCTCCTCTGATCTCTGAGAACCAGCTGGAAAGCTGGGGGGTTTATTTTCTTACTCTCAATTCAAGAAATACAGAGCCAAGTCTCAGACTGAAAACCCAGTTTTTCTGACCTCTTCATCCAGACACTGTCACCTACAGAGCACTGCTTTTACCTTTACATATATATTCACAGGAGGCAGGGGAGGTGGCAAAACAGCAGTTTAAGAGTAGCTTGCATCAAAATATAATCAAAAACAGGAACCAGATTTCCCAAGGTATTGTGTTAGTTCTAACCTCCTCTATTATATGGCTAGGGAAAGCAAATGGCTGAATTTTAACGTGCTTTTTGTCTTCTCTATTCATTCTCTTCCCATTTAGTGTCATAATTCAGACCTGTACTCGACTGGGTTTGATATTAACTATTGTTCAGTTACTCATATGGGAGGAAAAAGAATATTGTATCTAAGTATCTAACTTGTTCCCCTGTGAGTATTTGTATTTGCATGGCACTTGCAGTCTTTAAGTGAGACCAAGGCCTCATTTAATTAGCAGTGTGCATGTATTAAAAACCACAAAGGTATATTAACACACATTTTTATACACATACACACACACACATACACACACACATTTTAATGATATGACATCTGTCCTTTGAGTCTAAATGGTCAAGAGAAATAAAGGCGAAGAGAAAGAAAATATTTTCCCTGAAAGAAAACAGGTAGAGAAAGCTTAACTGAATCTTGGAAGTATAAATTATGGTAAGGAGACAGGATGGCAGTAGCATTCAGCAGGTCCCTGTCCCATCATTGTGAGTGTTTCTTTATTGCAACATGTTCTACAACTGGTAGAATATTAAGAAAAAAAATATTTCTGAAACTCTTTATTTCAAATTCTTATACTTCGTATAGAATTTTTGAGGGGGAGAGAATAATCTGACATATATATATAACATTCTAATATTCAGCTGAAATAAAAAGGAAAGTGGCAAAAAAAAAAGACTGTGAAGTCATAAAGCAGAAAATGAAAGTGTTCTCAAAAGCATACACAAGGGGGAAAACCTTAAAAACCAAAAAATGATGAACGAAAACTTCTTCTACAGAATAATTAAATTTCAAGATTTTGAAGAAACAGGAGCCTACGAATGCCTTCAAAGTATCCTAACCCATCTCAGAATTTATACACAGGAAAGGAGGAATATTAGAGCCTGCTGTATCATGAATGCTTTTGGCTTGATACAAATTGGCCTCATACTGTTGTGCACCACCATCATCTGCAATCATCAGTGCAACCATCTTCTATTACAGCAAAGAAAAATGATTGAAAACAGCCTGCAACTTTTGGACAAAATGGGCAAAAACTTTCCTCAACGATGTCTAAGAGAGAAAATGTCCTTCAGATTTCCTAAGCAGGTTCTACAGCCCAGACAGAAAGAGACTGTCAGAATTGCCATTGAAGAGATCTTCCAACATATATTCTATATCTTTAGCAAAAATCTAACTCTAGCTGCTTGGGATGGGGCAGCTTTGGATCAGTTCCAAAATGGACTTTATCAGCAAATTGAGCAATTGGAAGCATGTGTAATCAAAAAGCACACCCACTACTGTTGGAGTAAAGAAGTAAGCAGGCTGAAACTGAAAAAATATTTCCAAAAAATAGATTGTTTTCTTAAAGACAAACAACACAACCTGTGCTCCTGGGAGATCAGCCGTGCAGAAATGAGGAGATGTCTCCAACTGATTGATAAAGTGACAAGGAAACTTAACAACTAAGGTACAAAGATTTTAACCTCACATAAATTATAACACTTGTAAAGAAATATTATGTATAATATTTATTTTTGGCTCTATAATCTATCTTGTGGCATTGCTTCTAGTTCATACTGACTGTATTTAAATAATTATGCTCCTGAATTTTATTTTTGCAAATGTAATGCATTATTCAATGTAAGTAACTTTTTTCTACTCTAAATTAATCTATATGACTTTTCAGTTAGATTACACATCCATTGTAAGGAATTGTAACTTTATGACAGTGAAATCTTATGGTGTTTTCTGCTGAGAAAAAGTGCTGCTACTTTCCATTTCTATTTCACTCACGTATAGAGAATCATGTATTTGTGGATTAACTACACATCCCTTACCTTTCAGGAATTGCTAGATTTTACTGATTGAAACTGCAGCAAAAATAAAGTATTATATTGGTTATTTAAGTGGTCCTGACTTAGGCTGAGAACATGCATTTTTCTTTTGAAGTTTGTATCCTCTTTTCCAAGAATGTATTTGTTTTTACATTTGAGTAATTCTAACATTTGCTTTGTTTGAAGATGTAAAGTAATTCGAGAAGGATTTGCTTACATAGGATATTTTTTGCAGTAGTTATGGCTTCTGTAGTAACTTTTCACTTGGACAGTGTTACTTGTAGTTGAAATATATTTGCCTCATCTAACTATTTGGGGACAAGGCTTTTATTCCTTCCTGCAATGTTTCCAATTCACTTAAACTTCTTTGAAAAGGTATTTGAAATAACTTTTCTACAAAGAAGTATCCAAAAACCACATGTGCCAGTGGCACATCCTACTTGCTCATGGACATAGTCATCCTGGCTACTGCAATCTCAAACATCACCATCCAGTTCTATGTTTTATTGCTGCATGACATCTGCCTCTTCCCCTTTGCTCACAAATTGAACCACAGAAATGTATAGCCCTTGGTATTTCAATTAATTTCCGCTCCAAACCACGCAGCTTTCAGTAATAATTGCAATATAATCAAAATCTTTAGAATAGCTTGCAATAAACTGGGCATGGATTTTACCCTTGGGAAATTGTCCCTGAGTAACTCCATTTCAAACAGTGTGTTTTCCCTGATCGCTTGTTATATGTTAGTAATGAAGGAAACAGAGCTATATCCAGGATCTTTTACCCAATGAATATTGTTAAAAATTTGGTGAAAGCTTTTTAAAAAAAAAAAAAGGCTATTGCCTCTGCCACCCCAATGTACATTTGGCAGAGGCTCCTGGATCTGGCATAAAGAAGCAGAAGAGAGAGCACATGTGCTCCTAAGAGATGCTGATATTAGTCCTGGAGGGCCAAAATTGCTAGAGGTTGGTTTAAGCATGATGTAAGGAACCACTTTAAAGCTTTTCCTGATCTCCAGCCATTCAGAAAAGTATCATTCAAAGGGGTGATAATAAAAAGATACATCTAAACAAAAAAGGACTGATATGAACAATGGCAATGGCCACTAGGTCTTGGGTACCATACCTATGACACAGGTCTCTTTTGCAGGGTGTACATACTTTCCTCGCTACCACTCATCAATGCAAGCTAAAGAAGCAATAGGAGTGATGGGTATCCGGTATGAAGCTCAAATACCAGAAATAAAAACAGCTAGCAACTTCACCACTCTCCAGAACAACATAAAAGACCAAAGAAACAGACTGAAATACTGGAGTAATTTTTCATTCTGGTGACACCCTGTCACAAACATTACAGCAAAATGTGTATTTCTTGGGCTTTGTAACTAATGGCACTTGAAATGGCCACCACCATGGGACTGTTTCAAATCTTATTTCTGTTGCTTGTTTTTTGTACTTCTTCAAACCTGTACAATAAAAGGACATTCAGCCTACTTACCCTTCTGGTTCTGACATCCTTGGGTGACTTCTGCAATGCAAACTGTTATTGAAATGTCCTGATTTTTACAGAAACTTGGAAGTAGCATGAAATATTTTTCAGCTGCTCTCTCATGAGGGATTCTAGTTTTTATTGCCTAACTTGTCTGCAGTGAGAATATGTTAATTCATGGCCCACTAATTGTTTAGAAACTCATACCATTATGCTTTTTTTAATTCATAACGGTCCTTAAAAATCTCATTGCCAAATAAAAACCTGTTTTGACATATTTCAGTCGACATGGTACTTTGCAGTGCAGAAAAAAACAGAACGGGCAGTAGAGGACAAAGTGAAATTACAGACAAATATAAGAGTTGTAGGTTAATGTACATGTGTTTTGGCAAGACTGTTTCAGTTCTTTATAAGCATGCTGCTTATCAGTAAAGTGCTATTGCGTTCATAGAAGGGAATTGAAAGAAAAATGAACTATTCTTAAAAGAAACAAGAAGATCTCAGAGACAGTGATGAGAGCTGAGAAAACAGCATTTGATTTCAATTACTTTTTGGCCAGCTGTGAGGTAAGAGAAATTATTTGTGCTGAGACCATGTCTAGAAGACACATTTAAAGTTGGGGACCCTGCAACAGACATAGTTACTCAACAAATAAAAAGGAAAAAGAAAACAGCAAGCCAAAATGTCTTTATTTTATTCTTACTTTTTAAAGAAAGGTAAGGATTCTTAAGGGAAAAAGAAGAAAGTTAGAGAGTCAGGAGGTCCTCTCTCTTCACCATGCCATCTTAACATTTTGGAGAAATCTGTATTCACCACCATCGTGTTACCAGGTCAGCTGTATATTATTGGAACCCTCTGGTATTTCTTCCAGTTATTATTTTTCTAGAAGTTAAACAAATGAGGCAAAATACAGTTTTTAAACACACATTATTTTCAAAAGGAAATTAATAAAATAGTGAATGCAAAGTCTCAAAAATTTAGCATAGATGAAAAAAAATCCTTCCAAGATGGGGCTGCTTATGGGTGAGAAAGCTTCATAAACTTTTCCATAAAACTCACACACCAGTGCTGTGCAGCACAGGTCCCAGTCACAATTCTGGCAGTTCTCATGGCTTGTCCACACCACCCTGCTTATCTGTGCTGTGCTGAGCTGTGTTGCACTTTTGAGGAGATGGTACTAAAAGTGATAAGGTTTCATCTATACAGAGTCAGTTTTCTGGAGTGGATTTATGGAACTGGGGTCAAAAGCCTTGTCTTCCACATGAAACTTCAGAATAACTTCAGTAGAACTGAAGAATGCTTATTTCAGACTTTACTTTGGAAAAAATTATTCACAAGGCACAGTCAACTACAGCTTCATCCATGGGTTTGGCTTGTTCCACTAGGTCTGGCTTCATAAAAAAAAGCACACCAAAACTAAACAAACGGGAAAAAAAAGACTGTGGAAATAAGTCTCCAAATAATCACACAGAATTAGCCCCATTTCTAGGAAGGACAGCTGTGAACTCCTTCAGAGCAGGCCAAGAGAAGTTGCAGGGGTGGCTGTAATGAAGCAGCCAGACCGGCACTGGGGTTGAGGGGTGTGGGCTGGAGAGGGGATCAAGAACTGCCCATGGGAAGTGCTCACAGACTGCTGCATCCTGCCAGCCCTCACCCCTTACAATCCAGTCTGTCCCCTGGTTCAGGGAAGATCAAGAAATGAGGGTGACAAAATAGAGAATAAATCCTAAATGAAGGTGTTAGTTCTCAGTTTTGATGGGCAGAATAAATGTACTTTCCTTAGAAATTTAACGCAAAGCAAAAAAAGGTGAACAAAGCAAGTAAGATTGAAATTGATATTTTCCAATAAGGTGACTGTGCTTTTTAATATCCAAAAATCTTCCTACTTATCCTCATATAGGCAGGGATGAGTCATTTTTATCAATGTTTCCCACACTTCTGCTTACACCATGAAATCCTTAGTAAGGTGCACAGGATTTTTCAGTGCTAAGAGTTCCTAGAGGAACAAACTCTGACAGAGAACACGAGGAAAATCTTTCTTCTCAGCATTGCAGCCATGCCAGTGCCACAGCCCAGCCTGCAAACTGGAAGGCACCTGCAGTGCTTCTGTGGGGCCACCCTGCTGCAGCCACGGACTGCCAACCCCACCTGGCTTCCAAACACCAGGCTCTTCATTTCTTGTGTCCTGGATGAATTCCTTTTCTCTATATACAACTTTAAAAGTGAAATTCCCAGCTCATGTGAACTGGCAACCCTCCAGTTTAATTCCAGTGGCATTGAGGAAGAAGCAATGGTAAATGATGATCAGATGAGCAGAGGGAAATTCATGTCCTGTCTCAGTTTTCTACACAGTGTAGAGTTTTCTACACTGCAAGGTGGGTTCATTTTCTAAAACCAACCTTGCTGAGCCCAAGTCATTAAAATTAGGATCCTAAAACCACATTACCTTCAGCAATAAGAAATTGTGTTCTAAGCAAATAATATGATCTGCTTTTGAGTGTGTGAAAGTAAACACAGTTGACATTCCCTTCTAAAAAATAACTGTTAAAGCATGACAATGCATTTGCAAAGTCAAAATACCCATTAAGTGTCGTGTGGGGTCTTTATATAATAAAGAAATGTGGTCTGCTGTCTGATGAGATGGTAATCAAAGAGACTTTATTTAAACCCGGCGCCCCTTTTATCCCTTAAAACCATGTGACCTTGTGACCAATGGAATTATCTATTTCAGCGCACGTCCCCTGGGCTTCCCTGTCCTGGGTGCTTCCCCTGTACCCCTGGACACGCCTCCTACAATTAAGGAGATTAAATACTGAGATTTCAAATAGCATATCTGCTCCCTGCACACCAGTTACCACTGCATCTATTCACCGTAACTCTTACTGTTGATAGTATTCCTCAAGTTTCTTATCTTGGTAGGCCAGAACCTACACAACTTCCTCTGGACTTAGCTGGAGTAGTGTGTTCCAGTTCATTTTCCCAGAAAGGAAGTATCTTGATAGACGTATTTATATAAAACAGAAAGCTTCTCTTCTACAAAAAAATAAAGCACATTTTACTTTAATTGTTTTGCAAAATGTTGCTCTCTCTTTAAGCAATTAAAATACTTTCTTTTCAAGTCTCTTTGGATTTGAAGTGTACTCAGTTCTGGTCTCCACTTTTTGGGAAAAGTTCACATTGGCTAGAACGGATTTTTTCTTGTGATTACAATTTTTAATAATTAAAAATAA